ATGACCATGCATAGCACATAGTGAACGTGTATAACACAAACGATAAGATCGACGACCGAGGCGTCTAGAAAGGTTGGCACAGACCGAGGCGTTGCACCTTGAGTGCCAATGAGTGGAATGAGTGGGAATGAAAGCACTGATAGCAGGGGGGAGCTGGCTGCTGGCGGAAATTGGGCACAGCGGCGCCCGGTGAGACACAAGCGGGACGTTTTGTGAACGGATGTCTCTAGACCTATGGAACGCCTCCTCCAAAGACACACAATGGACACACACCACGCGCGCAAGCACTGTAAACCTCTTCATTGTTGTTGCGCCACACCGCATTGTTGTTAAACAGAAGCAACGCGTGCAGATACTAAGCTAACGCGAGTTCGGCGCCAACCCAAAGAACGTCGATTCATCTCCCGATTGATCTTTTGATCCGTGCATAGCGATACCAGTCCTGCGCAGCCTCCTCTTTTGTCTGAACGCGACCTGGAGGCATCCTCGAGGTCCACACAGACATGCTCAATGAGCGACACGGCCGCGCCGCCTTCAGTTCTCGACAGCAGCCCCGCCGCGACTGCCGTTGACTTGCCAGCGAAGACACCGCCGAACCCACCACCGACGACCACGACGTCGTCATCCTCGCCCAAACCCCTTCGGCACACGCCCGCCCACATTGAGAGCACCACCAAACTCGCGAGAAATGTCTCCCCGGGCCTGCTGGCACGCATGAAATTCCTCAACCAGATTGCCGACACCAACAACAAGAGCGCCGTCGACGTCGGCCGCATCGAGGAGGACCGCCTGCGCCGCCTGGACGAGTTCCGCAAAGCCCGCAGCCTCGAAGTCGAGCGCCGCGGCACTGCGTGGTCCGGAAAGGCTGGTCAGGCTCCCGCCGCTGGAGAGACGCCGCTCGTGCCCCAGTCGACGGGCGAGAGCGTGCCCACGCTGGTGATGGAGCCCGACTTTGACAGCGACCACAGCAGCGTCGTCAGCACCAGCGATAAAGTTCTCCCGTCTGAGTCAGAAGCCGAAATAGAGCTCGACCTGCAAAAGTACCGCCTGCCCGACGTCACCAAGTCGGAAAAAGCACTCAGCGGCACCATTACCGCTGCTGAACCCGAACCCGCGCCCGCACCGCCCGCCGAACCAGCACCCACTGTCGCGCCTGCCAAACCAGAACCTGTCGCGCCTGCCGACCCTGAGCCCACCGCACCTGCCGAGCCAGAGCCCATGGCCGCGCCTACTCCCCCACCCAAAGACACGCCACCCCTACCCGCCCCCGTACCCGAAGAGGAGCCATCCGTCCTCGACGACAACAATGGCATCGACATCGCGTCCTACTTCGAGAAGCGCCACTACCCCCGCGCCAACTCCATCTACACCCTCTCCAAGGCCAGCTTCACCAACCAGATCCAGCAGCTGACTTCGATGAAGCTGCCGCCCACAACCATCGCCTCCGAAATCACCGCCCTCCCGACTTCCACCCAGGCCGGACGCGCCCTCCACAAGGCAGCCAACGACATCCGCCTATGGATCTCCAAGACGAAAGAGGTCCTCAGCGGCCTCGACGCCGACGATGACGTAGAGTGGGCCGCAGCTGCCGGAAGAGAAGGCCTGGAAGAGGTGGACGCCGCCATCGGCAAGTTCGAAGGGCTCGTCAACGTCTACATTAGCGCGATAGAAGACCTGCAGTCGCGTTCCGACATTGCGCTCCTGCCCACCAAAGACCAGACGACGCTTGTCAGCCAGATGGAGGACATCGTCATGAACTGGGGCGAGATCAAGCAGACGCTCAAGAACATCAAGAACCAGGTCGAAGTCGCCATGGAGTGGGAAGAGCTGTGGAACAACGTGCTTGGCGAAATCGGCGCCGAGGTCAGAAACCTTAGTCGTCTGATATTTGAGATGGAGGAGCGCAGACACCGCGTCATCTCCGACTCAGTCGCCGAAGCTCCAGAGAAGTTTGACATTTCCGAGCTCGAGACCGTCGTTGAGGTAATCCCCCGGAAGCAGTCGATAATCAACAGCAAGCGGCTTAGTATGCCACCCAGCCTGTCCATCGTCTCGCCCACCTCACCCATCCCGCAGATCGAACAAGAGAACTCGCGACTGCTAGCCCTCTTCGCCAAGCTACAGCCACTGCGCGCTTCGCTCGATTTCCTCCCTATGCGACTCAGCGCCTTCCAAATGCGCGCGAGCACCATCTTTCCCTCCGCCTGTGACGAACTGGTACGGAGGAAGGAATCGCTAGAAGAGGAAGAGGCTAAGCTTGAAGCCGACGCAGATGCGCTGAGGCAAGAGTTGGGCGAAGACAAATGGGTGCACAGCTTCCGTCAAGCCCACAGCAAGGCTGCTGCCATGTACGACTCGTGCATGAAGAGCATCGAAAGACTGCAGCAGGCCATCGAAGACAGCGACGAGGAGAAACTGGCTACGCGCATCGCCACCTACAAAGACAAGCGAGATCACTACCCTCCATCTATGAGGCGTGTGCTTGAGCTCATCGATATCGAGATGAAGCACAGGTCCACAGTCAACGGTGAGATCCTGCGTATCCAAAAAGACGTCCGCGCAAAGGTGGAGGACTTGGAAGACGTGACTGGAAACACGGACATCATCTTGAACGACTTCACTACATCGCGAAAGCTTCGCGACTCAGTCTCCACCGTACTGACAGAGGGCTCCTTACCACAGTCAAGCCTTGACACACCAGGCACATCCCCCGCTTCGAGTGTCGTCATGAGCCGTAAGAGTAGTGGACAGCGGCCTTCTATTACTCCGGTAAGCAAGAAGCCTCGTCAGTCCAGTGTTGCGAGTTTGAAATCGTCGGCCCCTCCCAACCGCCGATACTCCAGCATACCACTAGGTGCTGAGAGTGTCGCTTCTCGCAAATCTACACTCGAGCGTTCCGCACGTTTGGACTTTACACCTTCCCGCGCCATGGCTGGCACCGCAGCTAGTCAAGCCCGCGCGAAGACGCCGACCGATAGGCCTGGGCCCAAGCCCCGTTGGAACTCGGACACGCACATGCGCGACACTGTCGTCGGACACAACTTTAAGCCCTTGACTCTGACTACGCCTTCGCCCTTCCGGAAAGACGGATCACCCGACGGATCGCGAGGGGGCTCAGCGAGCCGTTCGTCGATACCCCTCAGAAGCCCATTGAGTCGCTCCTCAGCTCTTTCGCCGACTGCATCCAGTCGTTCTCCATCTACCACTCCAGGACAGCAGCGCCCTGCTCGATTGATGCCAAGCCCAATGACCTCCTCTCCCGTTACTCCTGCAAAGGGCAAGCTGCCGATACGATCTACACCCCTGTCTTCCTCAAGTACAAGTACACCAGCGTCTAGCCGTCGTGTCTCGACCGTAGTAGAAAGCGGCAAGAGCCCTGCCAAGGAAGAAAGTCCGGTGGCCCGTCGCGCATCACGCCCCCCGAGTGCCGCAGCCAGCCGTCGCAGCAGTCTGTTACCTACACCTAGACAGCGCACCTCATCCACTTCCGAGGCCACCAAGTCAACTCCTCCTGCTAAGTCGACCCCTCCTGGACGCTCCAGCAGCAGGCTTGATAGCTTGGCCGAAAGTCGCACTTCAAGCCGTGTTAGTGGTCGCCAGTCAAGCGTAGGAGACAGACCGATTTGGAGATAGGCACTTGCAAATCGGACAATTCACCTCGACGGACCGGCGCAGACCTGATCGATACCTCTTGTTTCCAAACGAAGGACAGCAACATCACGCAATCACTGTTAGCGAAACCTCCTTATTCACCCCCAACTTTCACTTCGCGCCTGGATCCTGGCTTGGTCCTAACCCCCGTTCCCTAATATCGCCTTCTAGTACTAAGCATCTACATTCTTTCGAATAAGAATCTCTCTCTTTCCCCGCGATGTATCATCGAAACATCCATCTCACCTCTGGACCAATTATATCCACACTTTTGATTTGTTGCTTTTTTCCATCTGGCGTTTTAGCGGTTGGGAGAAAGTATCCTATACCCCGGAGTTTCACACGTGTTTTTGGCTTTCTTTGAAGAAGCATTTTCTGCTTCACACATGGCTGAGCGAGCGAGCGTATCTGGCGAATGGAGTGCGTGTGAGCGTTGGCATGTTTTTGTGCGTGCTAGGCGCTTGCAGCATTATGGAGGGAGGAGTCTTGAGAGCGTGCGCGGGAGTATGCTTTTGTAGATAGGAGCTAGATTGGTATGCATGGATGGACTGGGAGTGGAAAGGTGGGGGTAGGAGTGGAGCAGACTAATTCTATGTACGAGCGAGTGTATTTTAGATAGTAGTTGAGCGAGATATAGAATGATACCATAGTAACCCGACATCTCTTCCAATATTGACTGTACCGCCGATGTGACTCACTAGTTGAGGGTCAAGCCCGGTCATCAATGCCATTGTCTCCCCATATTCAAGACATGCACACGTGAGTGGATCGCATCAGTTGTCTTCGAGCCAAAAGATTCACACCTGACCCATAACAAACACCAAGACAGTAACCCAGACTGTCTTACTACCTTTTCCTTGAAGACACATGTGGTCGTACAGACATTGTACTCAGCCAGGAACATATAAAAAGCTACAAAGTACCGACTCTGTTCTCGCATAACCATCTATATCACTTCACCCACACACTCTCTCTCAAAAGCCAACACTTTCACACTCATGCACATCCATCCAGATAAACCATTCACAACGACACCCCAGCATATCCTCACGAAAATGAAAATGCCATGTTTAGCGAAGAACTGCAGGTTCTGCAAGTACGAACGGGAACGTGATGGTATCCCGACGATACCTTCAGCCTCGTCCTCATCATCGGTTTATGATGAGATACGTTCGAGGATGAGCGTGGATACAGCGACGATGGATTCGGACGGGACTGGGCGAGAGCGGGATGGTGATGGGACGTTGCACTCGCGGCTAGATGATACGTGTTTCGGTATGGATGCGCTGGCGTCTTCGTTGAGGAGCAGGAGTAGGAGGGATAGTGTCACGTCTTGTCGATCGGAAGCTATGGCTGAGCCAGACGATCGCTACACCGAGCAACCTGGGCCAACGGATTCTAGATTCAACAACGACGATGATGCTGGAGATGTCGAGATGGCCGAGGGAGAGGAAGACGACGCCAGTCCACACAGTCCAGCATCAAGCTCAGTCTACAGCAACGACGACCCTCTTCTCCACCCTTTTCTTAGCTCCCTCTACAGCCCTCTCTACACACAAAGCGAAAGCGGTATACCAGACAACAACCATGATCACAAAAAATCCTTCGATTTCCTAGATGAAGTCCTCCTTGATCTTGACGCTTGGCTTGATGCTGGGGGGTTGGAGATGGGTGGTCTGCACGATGACATGGGCGAGGAGGAGTATAGAGAGTATAGGGAATGGTATAGGGGGGTTGTTGGGGGAGTTGCGAGGGGGATGGTTGAGCGGGGGATGGTGGGGGGGATGGGTCCAGAAAGAAGGAGGAGTGTGTAAGGGGGGGGGGGGGGTGGGGGGGGGGGGGGGGTGTGGTGGTGATGAGGTTGGGTTGTG